ATTATTTTAAGAAGATATTAGGATGTGAACCAATATAAATTAATTGATATTAATAAAAAAATTAAACATCTTATTCCTTACATTTAAATTTTAGGCAGAAATATATCATCAATTAATATTTTAATGTTTGCGTTAACATATACTCTCACCAGTCACTTTTTTAGGTACACCTGTCCAACTGCCCACTGACACTAATTTCTAATCAGCTAAACACATGGCAGCAAGTCAATGCATTTAGGCATGTAATCGTGGTCAAGACGATCTTTTGTAGTTCAAATCGAGCATTAGAATGAGGAAGTGACTTTGAACATGGCATGGTTGTTGGTGCCAGATGAGCTGGTCTGAGTATTTCAGGAACTGCTGATCTACTGGGATCTTCACACACAACCATCTCTAGGCTTTACAGAGAATGGTCAGAAAAAGAGAAAATATGCAGTGAGTGGCAGTTCTGTGGGCGCAAATGTCTTGTTGATGCCAGAGGTCAGAGAAGAATGGCCAGACTGGTTGGAGCTGATCGAAAGGCAACAGTAACTCAAGTACCCACTCGTTACAAGCGAGGTATGCAGAAGAGCACTTCTAAACGTATAACGCGTCCGACCTTGAGGCGGATGGGCTACAGCAGCAGAAAACCACACCAAGGACCACTCCTGTCAGCTAAGAACAGGAAACTGAGGCTACAGTTTGCACAAGCTTACAAAAATTGGATGACAGAAGATTAGAAAAACGTTGACTGGATCTGATTAGTCTAGATTTCTGCTGTGACATTCGAATGTTAGGTTCAGAATTTGGCATTAACAACATGAAAGCATGGATCCATCCTGTCTTGTATCAATGGTTCAGTCTGGTTATGGTGGTGTAATGGTGTGGGGAACATTTTCTTGGTACACTTTGGGCCCATTAGTACGAATTGAGCATTGTGTTAATGCCACAGCCTACCTGAGTATTGTTGCCGACCATTTCCATCCCCCCCTATAATCACAGTGTACACATCATCTGATGGCTACTTCCAGCAGGATAACGCGCCATGTCATAAAGTGCAAATCATCTCAGACTGTTTTTTTTAACATGACAATGAGTTCACTGTACTCCAATGGCCTCGAAAGTCACCAGATCTCAATCCAATAGAGCACTTTTGGGATGTAGTGTAACGGGAGATTAATCGACAATAAGAAATGATTAATTAGTGAAATAATTAAAGCTTTTTGTTCTAATAATTTTTAGTTTGAATCGATATCAAAACACCAAAAAAGCACTTTATTCATGAGTAGCTCTCCACTTTCGTGGCTATAAGCTTTCCTATTAGTTTTATCTGCAATAAAACACTCTTCGGCTCCAGCAAGCTATTTACAGATATCGAGGACAAGAACATGTATTTGATGGGGAGTTTAGCTAATGAACATGGGATTGGGATCATTAGTTGGAGCTTTTGTTACCGCTTGAATGCCAGTAGGAAGATATTGTGGAAGAGAAAAAGAAAAGAATAATTCTGAGACAAGAGTTGATGTTAGTTGGAAATTTATCTTGTATGGAAAAAGAAATCAAAGGACAAATAATAATTTATGAATAAAGCACCAGTTCCATCTTATATGAAGTTATGTGAAATTACCAATAATAAAAATGAAAGATTATGTGACCAGGGACATCACCATAGACGTACACACTATAACAAACACTTCTCTTATCTTTCATTTGCATGCTTGATGTTTGGGAACATTTTTTTTTGTTTTTTTTGAAGTTTTTCTTTCATTATTACAGCAAATAGAGTACAGAAATGTATTTGTGATACTCTCCCATTTTCTGCACTCCAAGTTTACCCAACTGAGACAACCTACACTGCTGAGTTGCATTTATATGAGAAAAGGGTCCATAAAGCTACCCCTGTCTCTATGCAATTTTTTTTTGTCTTTTACACTATCAAAGTCAAAGTAGTCTTTTATTGCTAATAATTTACTCATATAATGTGCTAAAATCATAACTATTTACACTTTATTTGATTGTTATATGATATATTTACATATAAATTAGTTTTAACACATCTGGCTTAAAGTTTATCAAGCTCCATGAAACCGCTTAACTTGATTTTAACCAGCTTGGACTAGTTTGGTTTTGTAAACCCAAAAATTGCTCTCATGCTCAATTATTATTTATTAATTGTTTTTGCCTCTGTATGTCTTATAAATGATGATCATTTAATGTGTGTATCCTATTTCAAACTCTTCAGAGCCAGGAGAGGTTTAGTTGTCCTCCAAGACCTAGGAAGTCTCGTTTATCTGTGATTTGAACTCAAACAGCTCTTTCAGCACATAGAGATTGCTTTATATCCTGCTGTTTTCTTAAGGCTGCTGTGGGAGTGATGGTTGCCCTAGTGAAGGACCTCACATGTGGATTAAAGTCTAAATGCAGTGGAATTCTCCAAGGGGAAACAGCGCAGTTGTGGAAGAAAGAGAATCTGGACTTAAAGGCAGAATTTTGAGTGCTTGGACTTAAGCACTTTTGGCCATCCAGTCTGCTTGATGTATCAAAGAGCTTAGTGGGAAAATTTCCTCCATTTCTTCCTGCTAGCTGTTTAAGGTCTTGACCAGACTGTAAAATGGAAATATTTGTACTAGTACATGGTGTACAGCATATATGCACAATTTCTTTCTTATTCAGTATATATATTTTTATTGTTGTACTATACATGTTTCAGCACTCTTTCTGAGACACTAAATTTGTTAAATATGACACTTCTTTTGGTAAATAATAATAATAATTCTTTACAATTTATATAGCGCTTTTTTTAGACTCTTAAAGTGCTTTACACAATGGGGGAATCTCCTTATCCACCACCTGTATGACGCAGTGGCAGCCAATTATGATATGGGGATGATTACAAAGCCATGATATACAGAGCCCAGCGGGCAAATATAATCAGGATGCCAGGGATAAACCCCTACTTTTTTTGCGAAGGTAAATTCTAGATCAGATACGTGGCTGGCCCAAAGTGTGATATGCACATCAGTATAGCAGCATATTGTTAAAGCTACTGTTTTTACATTACTGTGGCGGTTGGGTTTAGGGTAGACGTTAATAAAACACAATAAATGGGAAATTTAATGAATAATAAAAATAATTCTCGTTAACTTCCAGCTGCAACCATATCCAATCTAGCAACAACCTTTTTTAAAGGACTTCCTGGGATTTTTAATGACCACAAAGAGTCAAGACCTATTTAACGTCTCATCTTAAAGACGGCGGTCACTGAGCAGTATAGAGTCCCCATCAATATACTGGGGCATTAGGACCCACACAGACTGCAGGTTGAGCGCCCCCTGTTGGTCTTACTTACACCACTTCCGGCAGCAGCCTAGCTTTCCCATGTGGTCTCCCATCCAGGTATCGACCGGGCACAGCCCTGCTCATATTCAGTGGGCGACCATGTCAGAATTGCAAAGAGCTAGCTGTCGGCAATGGAAATGTATTGCCTTTGAAGTAATTAACCAATAATTTCATATTAAAATAAAGTAAGATTCATAGGAATATTAAAAATATAGAAAATATTTCCAACATTTCAAACAAAGAGTTGATAAGGTTTTTGCTAGCCACATTTCAATATGTTAAACTTGGATAATTATGTTTAAAAAGCAACCTGCCCAGACTCATGGTAATATATTTTGAACATAATTTCTCATATGTTTAGCATATTTGGACTAATTGTTTGGGAAAACCTGACTAATCTTCTATGATGGAAACACTAAACACTCTGCCATTAACTATCTGGGCAACATTCTAAAACATGCTAACAGTGTTAAACTTTGCACTTTGTCAATTTGTGTTGACAGTGAGGACATTTGTAAATATTTATAATGTAATAACAATGACCTCAGACCTCTGAATAACATTTTTTATGTTTCTTATGAAGTATTATGAACACTTCCCCCCCCTCTAATTTAAACATCATATTTTTTTGTACATTTATTTGTAGCTTATATGTTTATTAGTAATATTAATAACCGTTTTAACCATAAATACATTTCTTTTAACTGTTAAAAAGAAAATTAAGTACATAAAATGATTAGAAATTGATGGCAGTAAAATAATATTTCTTTTAAAGTGTAAATAAAATATATCTGTAAATAATATATATGTATACAGTTAAACTCAAAGTTATTAGCCCTCTTGAGAAATTTTTATTATTTAAAAAAATATTTCCCATGTGCTGTTTAACGCAGATTTTTTTTTCAACATATTAGTTTAATAACTAATTCCTAAAAACTAATTTATTTTGTCTTTGCCATGGTGACAGGACATAACATTGTTCTACTCATCTTGCATATAGTACTTAGCTTAAAGTGAAATTAAAAGACTTAACTAGGTTATTATGATAACCAGGCAAGTTATTGAACAACAGTGCTTTGTTCTTTAGCCAATTGGAATAAAAAAAAATGTAAGGGACTAATAATTTTGACCTGATATTTGTTTAAAATGATGAACTTGAAAACTGTTTTTATTGCAGCCAATGTAAAATAAATTTGACTTTATCCGCAAGAAAAAATAATTATATTAAATATTTTGAAAATTTCATTGCTCTATTAAACATGCAAAAGAGCTATGAAATAATATCTATAATTTATATATATATATATATATATTATAATATTTTCACTGGAAAGCTACTAATTATGACTTCAACTGTGCATATACTGTAAATGTCATTTGTAAAAAAAAAAAAAAAAAAAGTATTCTTTTCTATGACTTTTTTTTTTTTTTTAAGAAAATGTTTTTCAGCCATATTAGTGACATTTCCCTGTTCAGAATATAAAGATTGGTAGTTAGTAAATAATATAACAGCTGCTGGCATTTCAAATTTGACTTTCTAGCATTTTAGCCCATTGAAACAATGCATTTAGAATTTTATTTCAAAACGGGTTGTGTCTTTTGAGATTATGCTACTTTATTAATACTCCAAAAACATTGGAATCTCTACATAAATGTTTTTTGTTTTTTTTTGTGCTCCGTAGGGTACAAACTAATAGGGAGCCACTCTGGGGTGAAGCTGTGTCGTTGGACTAAGGTAGGTTGTTTCCTCCAATCGATTTGTTGTCAAGGCTATTTAGCAAGTTTCTTTTTCAAAAGTGGTACACTGTGTTTCCAGACAGAAGCATTTTTTTCTTTGTATAAACAAAACAAATGCTGGTTTTCTTTTATTAGTCGATGCTGAGAGGGAGAGGAGGCTGCTATAAACACACCTTCTATGGGATTGAATCGCACCGCTGTATGGAGACCACGCCGAGTCTGGCCTGCGCTAACAAATGTGTTTTCTGCTGGAGGTAGGAGAGTTTTTTTATAAATAAATAAAAAATAAATAACAGATATAATATAATATAATATAATATAATATAATATAATATAATATAATATAATATAATATAATATAATATAATATAATGTAGTATAATGTAACAAAATATATATAAATATGTAATAAAATTATTATTATTACATTATTATTATTATTACTATTATTCCAAACACACACAAACTCAAACACAGCTGTTCAAATGTTTGGAATAGTTACGTGCCAAATATTTTGCTTCAATGTTTTTGAGAAGGCTCCCATTCGCACCAAGACTAGTTTATAATTATGTTGTAGAAAATGATTACAATTCAAAATGAGAGTTTTCTACATGAATTTATTTTGAAATGTAATTTATTTTGGTTACTTGATCATTCAGTGTCACATAATCGTTCATAAATGATATACTATAGGCTGCTCAGTTTTCAGTTGTATTTCTGTGAAAATGGGATTCTTTGTTAATTAGGATTATATGAATTGGCAATAAAAATATTTAGCATAATTTTTAAACCTGTTTACTGGTACTTTTAAAGAAATGAATGTTTTTATTAATTATTTATTATTCATTAATGATTAATTGTTGATTAATTAAATAAATTCATAATTCAAATACTTAGCCCTAACTTTTAAATGTGAGCAGTGCTTCCCACAGGTTTGAAATATACTTGCGGTGTTAGTCGGATTGAAACGCATCTTTTACCCATAGCACATGGTTAACTACATGCAACAAAAAAAGGGATTTTTAACAATATTTTTATTGTACACTTTCTTTTACAATTTTTTTAAGACTGTTGAAAAAAAAAGAAATTCACTATTTGTTTTACTTTTATTCTATTCTGGAGCCATGCGCACCCACTGACAGGTAAAATCTGCTGCTGACATTTGGACAGTATTGCCAAAGTATGTTAGATATAAAATATGTAATATATGAACATAAATTTAAAAAAATACAGCAAATGAGAAAAAAATTGCATAAAGGAATAAAAACATCTATGGAATAAAAATCTCTAAAAAGTATAATCATTACAAGAATAAAATTGGGTCATTTAAATAAGGCAAAAGAGTTAATTAACCATTTCTAACGGTGTACAAACATTTTTCAGCCAGTTTAGATATCATTTCGTCCTCTCTGAGAAAATAGAAAAGTTTATGTGAGTTGTTTAATTTAAAGAATTACTTAAATAATGTTTCTCTCAGGCCCCGTTTACACTAGTGCGTTTAAGTTTTAAAACGGCTTTTTAGAATGAAAACGATCTGTGTCCACACTAGCGTTTCACCCAGCGTTTCTGAACAGCTTTCCGTCCACACCAAAACGCTGAAAACGCACATCACGTGACCACAAACACACTCTCGGGCAAGCGCTTCAGCCTATCTACCCAGATGAGAGCTCTGCTAGTCGGACTGCTCATCAAGCATCTCCCGCTGTATCTAATCTCACTATATTTATTCTCACTATATTTATTCTAGATATTTCATTCATTTTGTTGTCTATATCTAACGACATATTCCCTGACTTTGCTCATTGAAATCTATTACTTGTTCTCAGGTAACGTGTTTTAGCTAAGTGCAAAGATAAGTTAATAATAAATGTAACCACGTAGCCTACATTCTGTATATTGACTGATTGCTTGTCTTTATTTCCTATAATGTATAAACTTATTGTATGTTATTCTTTTATAATGGCCATGATTGATTATTAAAACTGATATTCAGCAAAAGAGGGTATGTTTCTTATTTTCGCTGAAAATGAAAGGAGGCAGTTGTTATAGGCTCCGTTTTGTTATAAATATCCACACAGTGAAGATGATGCTCATACTGTATATGCAGCAAGATGCCTCAACATTTCTGCTGTCTGGTAAGTTGCTAATATCAAAATGAAAATAGGCAGTTCCTTAAATCATGTTTTCATTTTATTGTGGAGAAAGTGAAACAACGTAGCCAGGGTGATGTGAATGAATAAGTGTTATAAAGTTATCAAGTACACTGTTTCCTTTGAAGATTTACCCGTGTCCTCGGTAGTCTGTTTTCCTTATCAAACTGAGGAGGGGGAGACTGCAGCCTTGATCAAACTTGTAAGTCTGAACTTACAAGAAGAGGATGCAGGATTGAACTGTGTGTAACGTTTTGCTACTTAATATTAAGGAAAAGCCCCAATCAGATAGGCGAATGTCGGCAGCCCTGCCTCCGTTTTCAGATGTCTCCGTGTTCCCCCATCCACACTGAGACGGAGCTGCAGCGTTTCAGAATAAAAACGGCCTCTCCAGCGTTTCCAAAACACTCGGTTTTTGGCACTCGAAAACACCGGCGTAGTACAACCGTAGCAAAATGTATGCGTTTTAAAACGAAAATGCATTAGTGTAAACGGGGCCTCAGTCTTGTGGCTGTGCACACGCTGTCAGCTGTGAAGCCAAGTGAAAGTAAATCAGGTTTAAAATAAAAATGGAGACGCCTTAGAAAGCAAAACCAAAAACCTAATGCCGGACATTTTAGGAGATTTACAAACCTCGTACGGGTGCATTTTCCCTTTCCCTAAAAGGGACCCTCTATGTGTCTCTGCAGAGCACATGAGATTCTCTGTGGAAGTGTTGATTGTTCTCGCACACACACAACGAGAAGTAGGAAATGTGTATAGCGAGAGGAGATATTCCACTGGTTAATCGAAAGCGGTTGTTTGGCTATTGAGCAGATACAAAAAAGTGTAAAAGGATGATAATAATAACAAAATAAATGTCACCAAATATACTTGGGCGGCCGTTAATATACCTGGGTGGACCACTCAAGTAAAGTCTATGTGTGGGAAGCACAGTGTGAGCGCGTCTGTTACTGTCTCTGTTTACTCTGTTATTTAAAGCAGATTAAATGTGACCTATCAGTATGCAGGTGCATAGGGTTTTTATGATATAACTTTTGTATTTATTTGTTTTCTTCATTACATTTTCTTTGTTTTCTACATTTAAATGGTTCAAATTCAATTTTAGTAATAGATTAGTCTAAATTGACATAATAAAAATCATGAAATTGTAAAATTGGCAGTTCCAACGATACAATTTTACGTCTTTGACAATGGTATTTCTAGAAAATCCATTAATTGCATTTTCTTCTCAAAATTCTAGTTACTGTTAATTTAAACCATGCTTTTTTAAAAAAAAAAAACCCTATTATTATTGCTATTCTCGCTAACATTTGGGGGACGTTGACCTCGTTCTTAAACAACGATGATTTGCCATTGTGTGCACATTCACGTCACCACAGATACAGGGACACTGGAACATTTAAAACCCACGATTCATCAGCGGATCGCTCGTATGTCAACTTATAGACAAACCAGCTGATTAACGTGACTTTGAAACACTCCAGTGCTTGTTTATCTGTGGTTACACTCAGTAAACAGCTGTGAGTTTTGTGAACAGTCACAAGCAAGTCAGCGCTGTTTAAGAACAACAGCGCTCAAATGTTAGTGGGAAATGGATGTTTTTAAAATTTCAGTATCAATTGGTACCGAATTCCAGTATAGTCACAGCAATAATACAATATTAACTGTTTTTTTGCTGTCAATACATTTTATTTTTGCAAGACAAAAAGTTTTTGTACATAATTTTCAATGATTTGCTCTTAATAAAAAAAACTAAAACTAATGAAGGTTTGTTTAAAGTCTAATGGATTAACAGGAAAAATCAGTCCAAGGCACTTGAATGTGGAAAAAATTTGGAAAAATATAAAAAAAACCTTTATCCACATGGCTAATCCTTAAAACCTATGCGTTTCAGCAAAGAACTGCCTTCATAAGGGTAACCACCATCAGGTACATCTGGAGTTTCTTTTGAATGGTACAGTCTCATGATATCTAAACAATACTAAAATAATATATTAAACAAGGTCAACTCAACACTCATCATTAATTCAGCGTTTATAGAGGATAAGAAAATGTATATATAGTATAGTATATATAGAGTATAATGTACAAATGAATGCACATAAACATGCATGTACATATACATACATATAAATACATGTTCAGCAATATATAATGGAGGTCTATAGAACATATAAAAACAAAAAGAACAGAAAACTTCATGGCTTGAGAGAGATGCCTGCCTGGGAAGACAGCTGTGATGTCCATCTGAATGAATCAAAGGTGCAAAGGTACATCAGTTCCGATTCATAGTGACACTTGTGGAAAGAAGGTAGCATTCAATATTCCTGCCAGGTTTTATGTGAGGGGGAAGAAAGAGCTGTCAAAGAGCATCAGTGCTTCTCCTCTGAGGAGCAGACCTGTGTGATTTGCACGGCGAGTGACCCTTCAGTCCAGCACATCCGAGAGATCACTGAGATGGACATGATTTAAGGAGATGGTTCACCTCAAAAATGAAAATGTGCTGTTAATTTACACACCCTCAGGCCATCCAAGATATACGGCTTTTATCCAGTAGCGGATTAAAGAAGATTTTTTGCTTAATCTTCAAAGAGTTGCATTTTAATTTAATAATTAAACTAAACACACAAGTCTCTCAGTTTTTTTTTTTTTTAACTTGAATTAATTGTTAAAGATTTCCCAGGTTTGTAATGTAAATAATGTTTAGTTTGTTGCACTGTGCATTCATTTTCTTGTCGGCTTAGTCCCTTTAATCCGGGGTCGCCACAGCGGAATGAACAACCAACTTATCCAGCAAGTTTTTACAAAGCGGATGCCCTTCCATGCAGTACGAATAATGCAAAGATTTTACCTTTTTCTTTTTTTTTAGACAACAAACAAACAAAAGCCACTCTCAGACAGAGTGACCATTGGGTTATTCATCACCTCCCTAACTAAGGGCCTTCTCCCCCAGTCACTCAGCTTAGATGGCCGGCCAGCTCTAGGAAGAGTCCTGGTGTTTCCAGCCATCTTCCACTTATGGATGATGGAGGCCACTGTGTTCATTGGAACTTTCAGAGCAGCAGAAATTTTTCTGTAACCTTGCCCAGCCTTGTGCCTCGAGACAATCCTGTCTCGGATGTCTACAGACAATTCCTTTGTCTTTATGCTTGGTTTGTACAAGATTGATCAGTGGAAACAGAATGTACCTGAGCTCAATTTAGAGCCTCACAGTAAAGTCTGTAAATACTTATGTGATTTTTTTTATTTTTTACAAATTTTGCAACAATTTCAGTAATGTTTTTTTCACATTGTCATTATGGAGTATTGTGTGCAGAATTTTGAGGAAATAAATGAATTTAATCAATGGTTTATGCTAAGCTAAGCTAAAAGTGGTCCTGCCACTTAAGCCTGAGATAGGCTTTATACACTGGCGATCAAAAATAGAGAACAATTTAGAAATAATTGAACAATTCTGAAAAAATGTCATTTTTACTGCTCAGCAGTTGTAGGTTTTTTTGTCCCGCTTATACCATGCTACCAGAACATCTTTTTTCTCAAAATAACAATGGCATTTCAGTAAAAACATTATTTTGCCGAAAACACACTGATCAAAATTAGAGAAAAATTTCAGATACCTCCCAGTTATTGGTGTTAATCTGGCATCTGGTGCTAATTCCCTTGATTATCTGTCAACCCCTATTTACTTGGCAGCCTAATTTCCAGTTTCACTGACTCTGCAAGATGGTGGGCGGTTCTAAAGTGACTGAAAGCCTTCGGCAGCAGGTTGTCCAGATGAAGGCCAAAGGGATGACCCTATCAGCCATAGCAAGACAAATTGGTCGTTCTAAATCTGATTTCACGAATACTAAATCTTTACAACATCACAACTCATTCAAGTCCCTCAAGAAGGCTGTTCATCCACAGAAGAGATGACAGGATACTACGGAGAATCTCAATGGGCAATCGTTTTTACACTAAAGCTGGAACTTCTCACCAGTTCAGCACTGTACAGGGTAAAGATCTGTCTCGTCATACAGTCTCGATGTTTAAGAGCATTTGGACTAAAAGCCCACTCTGCAGTCACCAAACCTCTCATTAGCAGAAAGAATAAAAAGGCAAGAATAAGCTTTGCTGAGGAGCATGCTGTGTGGACAGAGGAGAACTGCTCCAAAGTTCACTTCAGCGATGAAAGCAAGTTTAATTTATTTGGGTCCGATGGGAAACATTATGTTCGGCGACAAACTGGAGAAAGAATGAACCCAAAGTGTATAAAAAAAGTCAGTAAAAAGTGGACGAGGAAGTGTCATGGTTTGGGGCATGTTTCTTGCAGCAGGAGTTGGGCCTCTACAGGTAAATGGCAGAGGGAATGCAAATGTTTATCAGAACCTTCTTCAACAACATATGGTTGCTTCCCTGTGTTCATTACCTAATCAGCCCGCAGTGTTCATGCAGGAAAATGTGCCATGTCACACAGCAAAACGGGTAAAGCAGTTCCTTGAAACTGAAAACATTGAAATAATGACATGGTCTGCCCAGAGTCCAGACCTCAACCCAATAGAGAACCTCTGGAAAATCTTTGCGACAAAGTTATGGCCAAGAAACCCATTACAGTCACTGAAATGTTGAGAAGACTGGAAGAAGAGTGGGCCAAAATCACACCAGAGCAGTGTGAGAGACTAGTGCTGTCTTGTGGCCACAGATGTGCTGAAGTCATTCAGAGCAGAGGCCTGTACACTTCCTACTAATTGCTGACTGTTGTAACCTTCAGAAAATTTTGCTGTAATTTTTTTCCATGCTACAGTCATTGTTGTTCTCTAATTTTGATCAGTGTGTTTTCTGCAAAATAATGTTTTTTGTTGAAATGCCTTTGTTATTTTGGGGAAAAGGTGTTCTGGTTGCATGGTATAGACGGGACAAAAAAAATCCTTCAACTGTTGAGCAGTGAAGATGACATTATTTCAGAATTGTTCAATTATTTATGAATTGTTCTCTAATTTTGATCGCCAGTGTATGTATATATGTATAATATATAGGTAAAACTCAACTGGTTAACGAGTTGTAAAATGCGCCTATTTCCGAAATATATGGAGTTTTTTTTAAGAACACCACTGAAAGTGTGACATGCACATCAGTCCATAAACCACTGTTATAAACTAAAGCATTTGGACAGGACAGACAGAGTGGGAGAGCTTTCAGTGCACACAATCCAACTTCTGTGTGTAGTTTGCGCAGCACTGTCAGATTAGCACAGCAGATTGAGCACGTCTCAGAGACTTTGTTCCTGCTGTAGAGAAATTCTGTCATTTTCAATCCAAAATTCTCATTGAATCAGCTGATTTTGAGGTGTTGTGGAACATAATGCAGAAAAATCGGCATCTTAAGACTGTTAGTGAACTCTATTTATATGAGCGGCGTATAGGATCTACTTGTTGGTGTTGTGGGTTGTTTTTTTTTGTGTTGTGCCGCTGGGACTCAAAGTTTTGATAATTACATTTTTCATCGTTGCCACAAGCTGTGCGAATCCTTAAATGCTGCAGAGTTAACGACATAATGCAAATAAATGTGGTAAGGATGTTTCGAAATTCATAAGGCATTCAGTCATCCACTCAGGGAGTGAAGGAAATATTGAACTTTGCATAAGAGGAGTAATTTGGTTAAAGTGGCACTAGAAATGATGAGTCTGAAGAGGCCTCTTCATGTGGATGGGTTTGTTATTTTAGGCAGCATCACTGGAATCTGAGCAAAGGCATTATAGGAAAAGCTCTTAAACTAATTTCAAACACTAGCTCTTCATTCACTCAACTTGAAAAATGGTTGTTTTTAATTTAGCTTTATCAGGACTTGCTATTTTATTGTCATTATCACTGTCTATATCGTAGGCCTCAAACTCAATTGCTAGAGGGCCGCAGCTCTGCACAGTTTTGCTTCAACCCTAATCAAACACAACTTATGCAACTAATTAAGACTTCTTTGGACACCTTGATCATTTGGATCAGCTGTGTTTTATTAAGGTTGGAGCAAAACTGTGCAGAGCTGTGGCCCTCCAGGGATTGAGTTTACCACCATTTTTATTATTATTTCAATCATATTTTTTTTGAAAATATTTTTAAAATGTTAGAGTAAAATAATAATTTCAAAAATAATTTCTAAATAATTTTAGTCAGACATGCTTTGGCTCCTCAAACATGCTCATGTTGGTTTTAAGTTTTTAAAAGATAAATATAGAGGTTTTTATTGCCAGACGTTTTAATCTCATGCTTTGGAAATAAATGGGTAATACAGACCTGATTAGTTAGGATGTTTACATATTACTTTATCTATTATTTTATACTATTGTAAACATTTTAAAAATGTTTTTACGGTAAAATTATATGCTTTCTGAAGCACAAATATAAGGTAGGAATAAGTCAGATTAGTAAGGTTAACATGAAATTGTTTACATTTGTTTACTTATTTACTTTAAATTACTTGGATTTAAGATCATTATCAGTATTCTTAATATTATTTGTTTAAAAAAAATTATATATTATGTATATATTAATTATATATATATTTTTATTTTATTTTTATTTTATTTATTTTTTTGTCTTTTTTTGCCTTTATTTGACAGGTCAGTAGGTTGACAGGAGATGAAGTAGGAGAGAGAGGGGGCTAGGCTGGGACTTGAACTTGGGACACCTGGAGCACTTTTGCACCATATTTTGGCACACTAACCACAGGGCTAGTTCGTTGACATTATTATTATTATTATTATTATTATTATTATTATTATTATTAGTAGTAGTAGTAGTAGTAGTAGTAGAAGTAGTGTTCACCATGAGTCAAGTTATTATTATTTTATTTCCTGTTTTCATTTGCTTTTTGAAACCTGTTTCTAATTAAAACTATTTAAAACAATTTCTTTTTTTTTTTTTTTACAACTATTTACTACTATTTTATCTTGCAACTAAAAACTAGTGTCCTAGTTGTTTAGGAGACACATTGGCAAATCTATATTGAAAATGTAGTTTGTGCACATCCTCGTCTGTACCCTTAGAGGAATAGAGTGGTATGACATCACATCCAGCGTTTTCTCATCTCCAGTTGCTATTTATGGCAGGGGACGGAAGTAAAACCACACTGACTGGCATTTGTGCCCTTTGCTGTGATGTGAGAGCTGTTGAAAGGGTTGCGGGATGCTAATGTGTGTCCGGTGGGGTGCAGGTGTTGTTCTGACAGGAACTGTCCTTTCTCATTCTCATTCACAGACACCACACCAACCCAGTGGGCACTGAGTGGCGCTGGAAAATGGACCCAGCTGAGAAGATTATTCAAGAGGCCATGGAGAACCACAGGAACATGATTCGCCAGTTCAGAGGTAAGAGGGTCACTGTCCATTACCTTCAAATCACCTCTCCTGAAGTCAAAATTAAACTTTGGTAACACTTTATTTAGATGGTCTATTTGAGTATTGAGTATATTGAGTATATTTGTGTAGACTGTCTGCTCAATATCTGTTGATACTGCTCCTTCAACAGACATTTAACTGACTATAAGAAACTTGACATGAAATAAGTACATGTCAACTTAAATTAGATTATAAAGAGACTGTTAGGTTGGGGTTAGTGTAAGTTAAATTCAACAAACAGACCATCAAAATAAAATGTGACCTAAACTTTTATTGAAAATGTGTATTCAATATGTTAGTTTTAAGGTTACCTATTGACCTTATTATTCACATACATGTGGACACAGCCATTGAAATTTGGCTCAGGATATTTGTCTTCCATTGGTTTTTAAACATTAGAAAGAGCTCACTATGCTGCTTGACTGTTACAGTCACACCCATAACACAATTAAGAGAAAACATAAATGGATCAGTCTAGAAGAATTTCTTAAAATATACAACATTATGATAACAAAGCATGGGAGAACTCAAGAAAAATAAATACGGCTTGAACACTGAAGAGAGCACAACTCCACGTCGGGATGGCTGCTCAAGCCTCTGCTTCCGGAGTGCTGCAGCGTGGGTTCTTATAAGCTTGCTGTCATGATCTGCAGGTTCAAAGAAATATACTTATTTTAAAACAAACAGGTAATGCAAAAACTGAAAATAAACAACCAAATACATTTAACATTGATGTTGCAAACTGATTTTTATGTAGTCCTGTAGTATGACTGTTTTCTGTTTTATTATTCCTAGTCATTTCTCTCATAGGCAACTGAATTGGAAGTTCTGAAACAATTGCAAGAATGAGCGCACTTCCGCATTGCAGAAAAAGGTCAATGAGCTAATGCACATTTAGAAGATCAATTTAGAAGATTTAAGCATTCAAAACATGCTGTTTCTCAGTTCAACAATCAAAAATGAGTGTTTTTTTAATCAAAATTAGAAAGAGCTTTATTGACAGTTATGTTCATCAGTGTTAGTTTTGACAGCAAATTTTGATTTAGTCTTAGACTTTTGACTAAAATTCCATTTTAGTTTTAGTCATATTTCATTGTTCTGAATCATTTTAGATTTTGTCAACTAAAACTACTGTAGTCTTATCATGATGTAATCGCATCAGGTTCTTTTCAATGTGTGTGTCTAATACATCACACAACAAGATTAATTCTGATTGGATATTTTTCAAAAAAACGTTCCCTAATCACTTTCTCGTCTCACTTGTAATAGTCTACGAAAATGTCAATATTATTTTATGTAGTTGTTGTCATCATCACTTAAATTTTATTTAGTTTTCATTAGTAGAAACTTGTTCATCAGGACAATTATGATGAAATTTTTTCCATCAACAAAATTAACATTTATGTTCCCACATAGGAGGAATTTGTGTCTACAGTGCAACAGAATGACAGAGACAGGACAAAGAACAGATTATACATTTAAAAAAAGGAGTTAACAGTGAATGCACATATTCAAATTCACAACATATGTAAAGGTATATTAATACATAGAACGTTATATGTGTAGCTGTTATGTGCTAATAGGCATGTAATGTATGTTGTGTGTATATGTGTTTAAAAAGTAGTAATGTTTGTTTCACAATTACTATCATCAAAAAATCACTTTGAATTTAAGTTTGCCTTAGGATCTGTTGCCCAATTGAATTCTCTCTAGTATCATAAGTGTCCCTCCCCCTACAAAATGAGGTGCAAATTTGTATCCTATTTACATGCAACAGAGCATTCATGCAGATGTTTCCTCTAAACGAGCAAATATAAGAAAATAACTTGCATTTATCAGTCGTACCAATGATTGGAGGAACCCAATAGTCAGGATGCTTCTCTACGCATTAACACACACACACACACACACACACACACACACACACACACACACACACACACACACACACACACACACACACACACACACACACACACACACACAAACACACATGTTTGTTTTTGTGAAAAGTGGGGACATTACATTGGTTTCCATTTATTTTATACTGTCCAAACCATATATTGTATTGCCCTCACCCCACCCCACCCCTAAACCAAACCTCACAGGAGACTGTGTGCAGCTTTACTCTCTGATTAAACTCATTCTGTAGGATTTATAGGCGTTTTGAGAAACGAGGACATCACCAATGTCCTCATATTTCACCTCCTTTTTGTAATACATGTGTCATACCCATGTCATTATACAGATTTGTGTTCTAATATGTCACAAAAACATGTACACACACAGACACACACACATACAAGGAGATTTGTTTAACCAGTTAAACTCCGCGGACGTCCGTGACATCATAGACGTTCACTTTAAGATTTAAGGAGCTAGCATTGCACCAGACCCTCTTAAGTGGTTTCGTTTGAAGGTGTAGAATCTATATTTTATGCACATACTGTATGCAGCACTTTTTTTTTTTTTTTTCTACTGTACAAAAGTTATTTACACGGAAATACACAGTATTTTGGATACCCGAGCAAGGTATTTTACATTGGTTTATTTTCATATTTTTCATATGACACATGTACAAGTTATAGCTCTAATGAAAGCTCTTGCCGGTGCTCATACGGTTCTAGCATTCTTTTTACTGAACTATATTCACATATCAAACAGTTGCTGAATGAATAGCTGTGTTTTTCCATGGTGCAGAAGTGAAAACAATACATTTATGAACACTAAGCAGCCCTAGATAGCACAGACAGCTGTCATCTCTTACCTTATGCTGTGTGCTTCAGGGTCATTTCTCCTCTGTTTTTGAGGTGATAGGCATAAGTAATCCTTTTATATGTCTGACGTGGTCCAAACACAGTGAATTATGTTTAATCAAACAAAAGAATCGTGAAATATGAAAACAATGATCGAGCCCTGTGGCTTGTATAACACCTCTCATCAGTTGGAATACAATAACTTTTGCATAAATAATGGTAGAGACATTTTTCTTTTTTCCTATAATTACAGACATGTGCAGGAACCACCAAAATTAATTACAGCACCCTAGACCACACAGAACCTAAAAGGTACACTTTCAAATTTGAGTTTATAAAAAAAATACAAAAATCACCTCTTTTTTTAGGTGTTTATTATAACACAGACAAAATATAAAGTTATTTTAAACACTTTCAATAGTGTTTTATGAAAATTCAAAGGGTTTTCTTTAAAATGATACCAAACTTTTGCATTTACACCTCTGCATGTGGATTTGGTAAGCTTTTAAATTTGGGTAGGCAAAATCCAGGCGGAAATCCCAAAATAACAGTAGAGTTTAACTCGTTAATTCTGTTGTATGAAAGTACAATTTTCTTAAAGAGCCCCTATTATGGGTTTTAGAAAATGATCTTCCATGTAGTGTGTAACACGGCTCTAAGTGAAGTGAAATATACAGCTAAGGCTTAAATCTGAAAGTGCACCATGTTTAAAACTACACTGTAAACGATTTCTTGTTAAATTAACAGTAAGTTACTGGCAACAATTATCCAGTAGCTGCTGTATTTCATAAAACAGTAACATTACTGTAATACTAATTACATTAGTATTAAATGTACTGTAAAATGTAATACATCATTTTACTGTTGTTGATTTTTACTGTAACACTAATTACAGTAGTGGTGCACATACTGCAAAACTGAAAACAGTATTTTATTGTACATTTTTACCATGAAGAACTACGGTATTTTAATGTTACTTTCATTATTACTGTATAGTATTTTACAGTTATTAAATGTTATTTTATTTTATACTTTATACTTTATAATGGGTAAAAAATGTTCAAAAATTGCACAAGTGTTATTTTAACTGTTCAAGACGTACAAGAAAAATAAAAAAACTGAAACTTTAACTTCACAATAAAGGTTTATTGTGTAAACCATGCTAAAACAGTAGCAATAATTCAATATAACAGAGCAACAGAACACTAATGAACAATTGATCATTAAAACCAGTTGTTGTAAAAAAAATCAATGAATGAGTGAAAAAGAAGAGAGAACCCAGTCCAGGAGACTCGAAACAAGCAGAATTCCTTTATTGAGACGTGTTGGTTAATCTGCAGTCATACAGCGTCTTTAAGATGTGTCTGCAAGAGCCTACTAGCGGTCCGCAGTCTGCAAGTTCTTTCACAAGTCTCTCACAAGTCTGCAAAAAGTCTGAATTAGTCTGAATTAAGACAAAGATTTCATGGCTATATTGTGTTCTTAGGAGGAGGGGATATAGCTAAACAAAGTATGCAAATTAAGGGTTGTGGTCGGCAGGGTAAACTGCTTCTCAGGTCTAATCTCATCATGTTCTGGAGACAGAAACCGCCTGACCATTTGATCGAAAAGAGAAAACAATAGACACCCCATGCTGTGAAACTGACAATTTGCATTACTTTGGCTTAGCCTGTGATCAGACAGACAAAAGGTTAATGTCCCTCCTAGCTGGGATGTTAATGAAATTATATAATTAAAAACCAGAGAATATAACTTTTCAGTTATACGTAGATTATTGTTCATTTGGAATTAGTTGATAGAAATTTATATTTCCACAGTTCCCCCTTTGAGAGTTATTTAAAAACTCTCACAAAAAAATCTAAATTTATAAGCCTTCCTAAATCCATTCAATGGCTTCTGTTTGATAACAGAAGCCCCATCTTCTAGTCATGTAACTTGAAAAGTTACAGGCACATTTAACTTATTCTGTGTCATTTCAATATCTACGTAGATGTAAGTGTAGATTTCTAAACTGTTCACACGTTTATGACAATCAGTTGTAATGTCATAAATCCTACATGATGACACAAAAAAAAAATCATGTAGTTAAACTGTAGATCTTCTGAAAGTCCATGGCTTGTGAATAGTGTTCAGTCTTTTGTGAGGTGTGTTTCTTGTGGTTCTTCTCCAGTACAGAGTTGATCTGATGACTTCCTGTCATTCCTGGATCTCCGT